AGAATATTCTACATAATAGTAATTTGTATCAATTAATCCATGTTAAAAAGGCACTGTTAATAAACGTTTGCCTGTTTATAAAAGCAAGAAAAAGCTGAGAAAAAAAGAAAAGAAAAACAAACAGGTGGTGGTCCTGCACCCCCACATTACCTAGGCAGAAGAGCTGGCCTCACACACACAGCACCTTCACTGCTATTAAATGAACTTTAAATGATCCTAGTACACTATAAAATCATTTGTTGCTGCATTAAATTAAGTAGGCCTATAATCCAAATGGCTGTCCAGTCATATCAGCTGTTAAACCTTGAGTAGTAATGAATTGCTTTGACTTGTGAAAGTCTACATATGTGACTGACACTGATGGGCGGTAACGCGTTAGAAGTAACAGCTCAGATGAAACGTCAAATAAACGCGGGTGCTCCTGCCAAATTTCTACTCATTTTGCTTCAATTTCTTGGGTCCAAATAGACCGAGAAGAAATCTTTTTTCTGAAACAATGCCATGGATGTTGATATGTGATCAATAACTCCTCCCCGAACTCCCCTGTATCTTGCTCTCTCACTGGTTGTCGGTAATCACCGATGTAGTTTTCAGTCAAAACACCTTTTCACACAGCAGGATTTTGAATCGCCGACAGGTCCAGATATTTAGCATGCCAAATATCTCACAGGCGTTGGCGACTCATCTGTGATTCTCTCAAATCACGTCTTTGCTCATTCACACTGCGTGATTGTCACTCGCGTGAACGAGCACCTGTGATTTCGGCATTTGTCGGCGATTTCTCAACCTGTTGGCGAGCCAAAATCGTGGCTAAAATCATGCGGTCTGAACTCGGCATTAGTCGAGTCACAAGTCATTTTTAATTGTCGAGTCGCAAAATCAAAGTTGGTACTCGACTTCAAGTCAAGTCCAAGTTATGCAACTCAAGTCCACAACCCTGGATTTTTGTGTGTATGCGAAATTAAGTATTTTTATTTTTGCAAAGGTCACTTTAGGGGCTCCGTAGCAAACAAACACTGATTTAAAGGTAAATGCAGCTCTACAAAAAGATGCTGGCACCTCCATGTGTAGATGTGGCACCGGTGCTGCTGCTCTTCAGTGTTAGCCTGGAGCCTGGGATTCAGCTTATAGCTAACAATTGAGCTACGGACATTGAATGTCTTTTCTGAGGTAAATGTAATGTTATGTGACATTCTTTTTTAAAATTCTTTAAAAAGAAATCGGACCCTGATTAAACGACTACTTGAGACATATGGATTTCTGTAAGTTGTCCTGTATCTTTCATCATTCATGTTTATTTGGTGCTGTAACTAGTAGTAAAGAGGCAGAGTTGATCAGTAGCTGTGCGCATCACACTGCTGAGATGCTACAGCCAGGGTTCCTGCGCCGATGGGAAAAATATAGAAATCAATATGGAAAGCTGAAAACCAGTATGGAAGATCTGTGTTTCCAGACTATCCCCCTGTCCTGTTTTTAGTCAGGTGTTCGGCAGCTGCTGTAACTTCCGGGCTGAGTCCGCTGTCGTGTGTGTCGACCTCACGCCCTGCTGTCTCAATCTGACACTTGCATTTATGTACACATTTAATTCTCTCTTTACATGCAAATCTCAGAAATGCTTTTGTTTGCATGTTCTCTTCACACAGGAGATCTTTTATGAGGAGAACCAGAAAGAATACAACAGCAAAAAGGCTGCTAAGAAGCGACGGAAGCAAATTGTTGCAAAGAAGATGAAGCAAGCCATCAACACGCTCAATCTGCAGGAAGATGACGACGTCTCACGGGAAACCTTTGCGAGTGACACTGAAGAGGCGCTGGGGTCCTTGGAGGAGCCGGCGCTGGGTACAGAGGACAGCCATGTGGTCTACAACACCTGTGACCTGGAGGTGTTCTGATGCCCGGCAGGCCTGCTGCGCTCCAGTGCACAACCACATGCTCGACTAACTCTCAGGATGAAAGAAAACATTTGATTAGTTGGAGTGACTGTGGAAAACTGATGTTTTGATTTTGTCCTAATGTTCACGAATAGCACTTGAGTTCACTACATCTTAAACTCTTTAACTTGTTAGAAGACCATCGGAAGTAGCCAAAGGTTGTACAGATTTTCTATCTTGGTTGGTTTAGAATGATGTTAATAAATTGTAATCCTTTTTCTGTCTGAATGTTTTGATATATTATCAAAATAATAGAGCACAGCAGTAAGAACATAAGAATTTATTTCAAAGCAACTTGTTTTAGACATTGGAAAAGCTCTAAATGTTTGCTAAAGGTGCACTTACCAGTCATCCAGTACATGTTTGATGTATGATGAAAAAAGTTTTGCTTTGGCAGCATGTCAGTTGTCAAATTGGCTCAATTTCTGTGATTTGATTAAAGCGTCTGTCTTTTTAAAAAGATTTTACTTTCACTGTATCTTATTTAGGTCTGAGATCAGATTTAATTTTACGCTTCAGAAAATTAAAAAAAAAAAATTAAAAATTTTACGCTTTTGCTCAAATTAAAAAGTAAACCCTTTATTTTTGTGATTGATGCACTCTGGTAGCTTCTGTCATCAGGTTAACTTTCGCACATGGTATATGGATGCCCGATATATCAGCCACCATATCAGTTTTGGCCGATATATGCCGATTATAGTTATCGGCCCAATAAGAACATTTGGCCAAACATACAAGTTGATAAATAATGGATTATTTCCTTCAGCTGACAGACTTCAGATGCACACTGTTCAACGTGATGGCTTTGAATTGCTTGAAATATGACTGAAATCACTTTGAAAAGGATATTGCCTAGGCTATATAAAAGTATAATGAGAACATTATAATTGTGTGCTTGGGACATGGTGAGACCTTTTGTTTTTGTTTTCCAGCTCTCAAAAAATGTTTTTGATTTATCAGCCAATATATTGGTTATCGGCTTTCAAATATAAAGAGTTATTAGTATAGGCCAACATTTTCATATCGGTACGTCCCTACATAGTATAATATACAGAGATCTTTGGCTGGGTTCTCAAAAAAGTCCTCAATTTGTGACAAGTTTACTTGATCACGCTTCTCTGTCTGGCAATACGATGGACGAGTCTGAGTTTGGCAGTTGCCAGGAGAACGGTACTTGCCTGATGCACTGTGCCAAGTGTAAAGGTTGGTGGAGGGTGGATTATGGTGCATTGTTTTTTGGTGGAAGGGGGATTATGGTGCGGTGTTGTTTTTCAGGGATTGGGCTATGGCTTGATCCCTTAGTTCTAGTGAAAGGAACTCTTAATGGTCTAACTCCACGATTTAGGACTTCGCAGTTCAGTCTTTGTAATATGTTTTAGCAATACATTTCTAGCATAATGTGTTTAGAACTTTTTTTAGAATTGTCTTTACTGGGACTTTAAACACTACTTCCTCTATAAAAAGGTGAGGAGACCGAAATAAACCCTGGGTTTACGGAAGTAAACCTGCTCCCGACCTCTTATACGGTCTATGCTCCCGACCAGATTAGGTTCACAGAGTAAGTTACCATGGTAACTGACTCTAAGTTACCTCTTTCAGTAACAGGCTTGACTTACCCTGCTTTGTCAGGTTTGACTTACCTCCCATTCTGAAACAGAAAACCCAGAGTTTCGCACTTTTCAGGGTTAACATACTCAGAGTTTTCACTTAACCTCCTTCCTGAAACAGGCCCCTGATAATGAATCTGAGAAGCTCAGGGGAAAATATACATATATTTTTTCACAGAAACCGACAAGTAGTGATCTGTCTCAGTTGTTTTCATAAGCCTTGATTACAGTTTTTTCACAATTGCTGAGACACATTTCTTGAAACCTTCACCTATTTTCTCAACATAAAACGCAAATCCAAATTTTTAAACTAAACTCACAAAACCCTTGACTCTTCTGGCAAATTCAAACAATTGCTTCAAAACAATTTAATCTGTACTCAAAATCAAAGAATACTTTCAGACACACAAGTCAATAATATAAGCACTACAGAACATTTATTAGACACTACATCAAAAAATCGAGAACACAGCATCCAGAATGTTACAGAAAAAATTTATACAGTATTTTTTTTTCCAATTACATAAAGTATTGTAATTTCAATCAAGTAAGGTGAATATATCATGGTCTGCAAGAATAGTATTGAACTGAATGTCTTTTTACAGCACTTGCATACTGTAAAAATAAGCCCTAAACTCTAAAAAAAAGCCCAAACTCTAAACGAAGAACATGTATACAGTATACACTCAAATACTGTAAGTTGTGCAAAGGCAAAATCTAGGTCAACGAGAGATTGATTCTGCTCTGCATCCCGTTCTCCTGGCCTGAGGACTTAATCCTCTCTCGCCTGGCGAAGGGAAAACCCCGGTCTGACAGATCCAGCCTTGATAACACTCTCTTCACCTGCTCGTCCTCATCCTCATCGTATGTTGTTCGTATCATCATTCAGTGCACCTGAACTGGCTAATATTTTATACAGTTGGTTTAATCACATTAGAAACAAGAGTGTGATTTTGAATAGTTGAGTGTAAATTATGTCAACTGTGCTTTATTTGTGTTTAACTTTTGCCTCTTGTGTTTAGTTTAGCAAAAAGAGTGCGTGAGATTTGCACATAGTCTAACTGCCTTAACTTGTTTAAGGTTTTGCAGAAAAGGTGATTTATAGTGAGAATTCTGTTCAGAGAATGGGGTTCAGTGTATCAGCAATTGCGAAAAACTAATACTAGCGTACTTAAGTAGACAAATTATAATTATCTAAACCTGAAACAGCGAAGTGTCAATATGTGTGTATCGTCTGATCATGAATATTTGATTCGCTGTCCAAGCATGACCACAAAAGAAAAGTCAGACTAGATGAAATGCTTATTGATTGTTGCGTTGTTTACAGTCGTTATAACTGAAAGGACGAGCACGTGCTAGTGATGTTATTTTCTGGGCATTTTTGTGCAGTTTAAATTTTGTCTCAACTGCATCATTGAACCCCCTCTTATGACGTAGCGGTTGCTGATTGGGTGTCCGTGGTCACGTGTCAGTGTGGGTCTGACGAGCAGCCATATTAGTACAGTTCATTCTTTCACGCGACCGGGTTCACGGTAAGACGCTCACACATTTTTAAATTTATTATTTCATATGTTACAGTGATGGTGATCTAGCACACTGCAGTGTTTAAAGCAGCTCTTGTAGAGTTACACTCTGTTCGCTCGGAGCGCTGTTTCTATACTTTTCATTCAGAAGGTATTAAACAGTTTTTGTCGTGTAAGTTAATCTTTTCTTCAAAAAAAAAAAAAAATAGCGTTGATTTGGTGTTTGTAACTCAAGTTGAACATGTCTATCTGCTCGCTGAGCCGAGGAGTGACCAGACATTGATCTTTAACGCTGTTGTGTTGGATATGCAGCTGAAGAATGGCGAGCGCGCCGTGTACCCCGGCCGGGCCACAGCCGTTGCCTCGCGGCGGCAGCGCGACTCCTCTGAGCCCCGCGCGGATCTCCAGGCTGCGGGAGAAGGAGGACCTGCAGCAGCTCAATGACCGGCTGGCGGTCTACATCGACACGGTGCGCGGACTGGAGACCGAGAACAGTGCGCTGCAGTTGCAGATCCGCGCGCGCGAGGAGGAGCGTGCACGCGAGATCTGCGGGGTCAAGACACTCTACGAGACCGAGCTGGCGGACGCGCGCACGGCGCTGGACAACACGGCGCGGGAGCGCGCGAGGCTGCAGATCGAGCTGGGCCAGATCGGGAGCGCGCACGAGCAGCTGCAGCACATGTGAGACCCTTCATTCACACTTCAGTCTCATTTCTATTTTGCTTTTGCTTACAAACACACAAAAAATTGGAGAAACTAAAATGTATGTTAAAAACGCAAGTTCAGCAGACAATAGGTGTTTCTCAATGTCAAGGATACTTCCTTGGCAGGACGGGTCCTTCCAAGTCATTTCCTTCAGAGGCTAGGCAAGGGTCCTCTTTAGCATTCGGAGAACACGTAAATGGAACAGGCTAGCAAGTGCACGTCATTGCGTCATTACATCAGTGAAAGGTCCGCTTCGGCGCTGCAAAAATCATAGTGCTGGTGTACTGCACTGTTTGTTGACAGTCCTTATTTTGTCTTGTCAGTCCTCAGAAATAAATAATTAAATAAATAAAGTATAAGGGATAATGTATAACCAGGCGGTTATAGTGAATACAACCCCGCAAACTCTACGGGTCTTGATTGAATCAGCCTGAAGGGGTTGTACGTACCAAACGGCTACCTACCAAATAAATCAATAATTTGACACAAAATATTTATTTAAAAAGGAGTTTATTCATTCAAAAACGATTATATTACCGGAGTGAACAGAACTAGCACTACGTCCATAGCAACACGATCTAGCTGTTAAAACACATGCAATGGTAAAATATGTGACCAACAAAAAAGGTTATAACGTTATATGAAGTAAAAATTAAAAAGTTAATCACCAGTAAAAGGGAACAGCTTTAAATCCCCTCAGCAAATTTGAGCCGATATGTTAAATACTTTTAACAAACATTAAATAAATGGCTAAACTGAAATTATACTTGCTTACATTTGAAAGCATATTGCCGTTATCACTCCGACTCCGCTAACGGTCGACATTTTTTTATTTTTTGAACAAGATAGCAAAGCTGCGCATAGGATTGTGGGTGATTTAAGAGCGCGAAGGCTACACATATGCATCCTTTCCTGTGTATGGGATATTTTCCGAACTAAGGACTCAGTCCTTGGTTGAAATTCTGAGAATCCTCGACATTGGAACAGTCCTTCGACGGACGTCGATGACGTAGCATCCTCGAAATTCCGGCTTCCGAGGATCCTTCCTTGACATTGAGAAACGCCTACAGTTCGCTGTTGTTCCTAGCGTGCCGCACAAGCCCTCAAAAGTAATGCCAAAACGTCTCGATCGCCCCCCTGTGACCAGACCTAGTATAGCTCTTAACCCCCGCCTCCCCATGTTATTCAATGAGACGCGAGACCAACTAAACAATTAAATTACACTTCACATATCCTTTTTCCAAAGATAGTTTGTGAAGATAGTCATTTACTGTAGTTTCTATCACGTTGATGTAATTTCAAGTGTTCGTTTTGAAAATAAGTTTGTTTTTAGTAGGGCTGTATTCAACCAAAGAAATCCTTAGTCGACCAAAGTCGAGTCCTGCGCAACGATTAGTCGACTAAAAAAAAACCAAAAAAAAAAAAACCGTGATGTTTTGATTAAACATTTTTTAAACAATTGTCATTAAGCAGTTATAAAACAACAACGAAAAAACATCACAAATAAATAAAACTATAATAATAATACAATTCTTTGAAAATTAAGTGATTTTTTTAACTGCGAAAAGTGAATAGCTCTGTCCTCGGTCTATAGTAACAGTCACAATCGCGCACCTGACCACACCACACGCTGCAAAAAAATATAACTGCTATCTGCCATGTAGTGAAAAAACCCAACAAAAGCTCTCGTTTATACAGGCTTTATATTCTTCTTTACTTTCAAGGTTATGGGTTAACTTTAGTCCTGACGATCAAGGTGTTTTAAACAACACACAAAAAAACAAATAACTTAAAAACAATCCTAATAATAGGCTGTAGGACCGCGTATAGGTTTATTTTCGTTTTGTTGCATTATTTAGGCTATTTTCAAATGCGTCAAGTGTACAAACGAAAACATTAAGAAAACACAATCTATTGAGTTAGCATGATATAGCCGTTAAAAGGCTGCTCACGTCTTTTGCGCGCTCAAGTTCGATTTCAAATGTAGGCGCGCGACTTGCGCGCTCATAATGGAGCAACGCGATCGCCTCTCTCCACAGTCTTGTCGTCTTTGTTTTAAAATGCAGCCAGACAAAAGATTTAGATTTCCTGGACATGTTGTCGACTAAAGCCAAAACAAGCAGCGTTCTAACTGAATGAATACAGCATCCCTTACCAAGCGAGCAGCAGCGCAGCCAGCCACAGGTGCGGTTCCCGAGTGTATGTGTGTGCGCTAAACTGTGGCGCAGTTACAAAAATAGCCTAAATTAAAGCATTTTAAAGTTGGGGACAAAACATAGGCTAATTATATTTAGAATACAGTAATAAATAACTGCTTATAAATGAATAAATATCAAGGAGTAAATAATTAAAAAATTCTTTCTATTGGTAAAAAAAAAAAAAATGCAACTGGTCGACCAATAAGAATGTCAGTCGACCAAGACGGCATCGACCGATTAGTCGACTAAACGACTAAAGTTGACACCCCTAGTTAGTTATGTGATGATAAAAACGGTGCTCTGACATCATGATTGACAGCTGTGATTGACAGGTTCTCTGTGCGAGGTAGTCACTGAAGCACCAGCGGACTTTTTTTAATAATGTTGATTATGTGGTTAGTAGTTGTATTTACCTTATTTTAACGAGGTTCTGCAATCAGCAGACATCATTGGAGAAGAACGAAGCAGACAGAGGACACTTAATAAAAGTGCGGGGCGTGTGCTTGTGTTTGATTCAGCGAGAATGAGGGCGCGGCCTTGATTTCGCGGCTTTACTTCCTGCTCACGACTCCGCATGACTGGTCCCGAAACACGCAAGTGCGCAGACTCAAGTTCCAAGATGTCAGCGTCATATCAAGACACTGGCGGCTTCAGTTCTCTCTGATGGAAAAGAGCGAAGGGGCGTCGTCCATCTTTTTTTACAGTCTATGTGTTTGTGGATTTCGGAAAATTCCGCTCTGTTCGCTCATTCCATAGGGTCCTCACTCTACCTAGAATGGCCTGCTGGCTCGAATTTCGAAGATATGTGGAATAAGGCAATATTATATTAATTTAATCCAGTTGGAAATAGTAATTCGTTACTGATTACTTCTCCAAGAAAGTAATCCGGTTACTTTACTGATTACTTATTTTTAAAAGTAATTAGTTACTTTACTAGTTACTTTACAAGTTACTTTTCAAAAACATGATGCATGACCTGAATACGCTAAAGCAATAGGTACCTTTCAGCCTAATTCTATTCTTTCTGCATATTCCATCATCTAAAATGTAATCAAATGAAACATTTTCTTTTTTAAACTTGATTTATTAGTTTCAATATTTTAACTTTATGCACATTGTATCAAGCAAAAATTAAATTAAATGCAACAGTCTCTGACTAGAAGAAAATTGTTGAACATTTAAACCTATTTTCTGCACATTCCACCATATTTTAATGAAATAAAGTAGTCCTTCTTCTGTTAACTTAAATTTCTACATATTCCAGCATTTAAAATAAATATATTTTGTAAAATCCTTAATTTGAATAGATGTAAAAATACAGCAATAAAATCATTTAAAATGAAAGTCGCTCCTTACTTTATTCCAAATTATTAACACTTACGTTTTTAACAGTAAAGTGCAGAGAGGAGTAAAAATTAGTTGATCAAAACAGAAAATGCTGTTGCATGCCACATTTTGGCTTCAAGTTTTTTTGTTTTCTTTTGGAGTGAAACAGTGGTAATATCCCTTCATGTAGTCGCAGCGGTTATGTTAGTTGAGGGTTTCAGGCCAGGGTTATTCAGTAAGTTTCACATTCCTTTACCGGCTTGCTGCATTAGTTGACCGTGTGAGACTGTCTTGTGACATGCTTGCTCAGATTTGAGGTAGAATTTTGACATTCTCCAACGGGGGGTTCTGTTTCTAGATCAGGATGCTCTCTGCACATATAAGGTCTCTCGCTCTCCCTCTCTGTCGTGTGCGTGCTATAAGGTTTGGAGCACAGTCTCGCATGCACGCTCGCTCTAGATTCCAGGAGATTTTAACTAATTTGCGGTATAACTAGTCAATCACAAATGTGGCTCAACGGTTAGATTTATAGATAAACTCATCTTTCAGGCATTTGACCGACGGGATTGACACTTCAGCACGAGAAATCGGGGGTGTGGCGTGTGTGTGAGAGTTGGCAGTTCAGCTGCTCTCTCCTGCGCTCTAGTCTTCTCTCAACGATGTCGCGGCGCTCATACATCATTGTTATTCACGCACGACTCATGTCACGAGACAGTCTCACTAAACAAAATCACGGTTAACTAACGCAGTAACGCAGAATGTTTACAGGGAAGTAACAGTAATCTAATTACTGTTTTTTCAATTGTAATCCCATACTTTACTCGTTACTTGAAAAAAATTAATCAGATTACAGTAACACGTTACTTCTAACAGAGAAATGTGAATGTTTCTCACTGGATCTCGCAGCGATGTTATTACTTCATTGGCGAATTCAAATGCTTTCTTTACTGGATTTCGCTGTGTAGTAACAGTGTTGATGATCAAGACCGGCTCGCGCTGCATTGGTCCAGACTGATAAACGGTCCGTCAACGACACAATAACAAGTAGCTCAGTTTCGTTCCGCTTACATTACATTTGCCATTTTATGTTGGGCAATGTTGTGGTCACGCCAGCGTCTTTGAGCATGCTTGCCACGCGCGATGCGCCTACATTTGAAATAACAAAATGTTGGTCAGCAGGAAAGTTTATATCTCACACTTTTGACTTTGTAACACGCAATTGCGACTTATCCAATTCTGCCAAATTGCGTATTATAAAGTCAGAATTGCGAAATATAAACATTTATACAAACAGAATTTCAAGCTATATTTCTCGCACTTTATATCACTCACTTTATATCACGCAATTTTGACTTGACATATAATTGCGACTTTATATCACGCAATTCTGACTTTATAGCTAACCTGCAATTGCCACTTTATATTATGTAATTTTGAGATAAAAAGTCAGAA